TCTCCCAGCTCTGGGAAGTAGAGGTCTCTGGCACCAGAGCCGCTGGGACTTCCTGCTTGTCACCAAAGGGCCAGCACTTTGACTTTCCACGCAAGGGAGCCGATGGGTGGAACAGCCGTGGGCATTCCAGCGTGACCATCAACGTGCCCTCCAAAGTATAGCTGCTTGGAGCCAGCGTTGCCGCCTAGTTGGCAGACTCGCCGCCCCCTTCTCACGAAACTGAGGTTGTCCAAGTCGATCTTCTCCTCTGCGACCTTGGCCTTGGCATGCGTGGCATCTGGCGGTGGGTGGTGGCACTCATCCTACACGTGGAGCTTCGCCCGTGAATGCGCCGACGGTCGTCAAAACAGCGGGGAGTTGTACGCGCACGTCCTGTAGCCATAGATGCTTCGCTCCATTCGACCAGCACCATGTCTTGATCGCAGCTGCCGCCGCCGAGGGAGATAGCAGCAGTAATTTCTCCGTCGCCTCCTCCTGCTTGGGAAGCATGCTGGGCTTCACATCTGGGAAGGCGGCTGCTGAGAAAGGGCCAACTCTGCTGCTTGGTCTGAAAACTGTTCCAAGCTCCTGCATCGGGCCTCGTCCATCTCGCTGCTGCCTTCGGCTGCGGTCGTGGCGAGATTGCCGAGCACAACCTTCAGACCAGTCATGGTTTCGTTCGAGGCTCTGGCTTCTTGGGGCTGGAGCTCGCCGGCTCATGCTGGATCCTCGGCCATGTCGGTGTCTTTTTTTCTCAGTCTTGATTTTCCGCTGCATTTCCATGCGGCGCGCGACCAGCGTCTCGATAATATTATTTTCCTTGATCCCTACTGAGCGGAACGAGACGTCATTCTGCGTCGCCTTAGCTTTCAGGATGTCCACTGTGCAGTTGGCCAGCTTCTTGCTGTACTCATCGTTCCGCTCCTCCTTCTCCTTCTCTTCCTTCTCCTTCTATATCGCCGTCCACTGGGGTGTCTCCTGGCAAGAGGGGACATTTGCCTGCTTTTCTGCCTCGGGCGTCGGGAACCCCTTGACATTCTCACAGATGAAGTTTAAAATGTCCGCCCACTGATTCGACCAAGCTTCAGGATCAGACACGAGAGGTCGTTGACCCCGACCTCATACACGAGCGAGGGGAGAGCGTCGTTCACTGTCTTGAGCTTGCCCGCAAGCTGGCTGATGACGGTCTTGTTTTGTGAGCCGACATGCTCGGCCTTGCTTCCTGCAGGACGGATGGGGAGAGAGACGAGGGGGATGGTATCGGTTCGGTTTCACTCCGGGGTTCTTTAACCTGAGCAAAACAAAACCATTCCCATCCTTTTTATCTGTTCTCAGCCTTCACCTCGCTACTCCAGCATGATGCACGCCATCGCTGGGCGAACGTCGCTGAAGTCTGCGAGTTGCTGCACGGTCGTGATCACTTGGACCAGGTCGATAAGTAGTTGGTCCGTCCCCTGCAAAGTTTAGAAGTCAATGCCTGACTCTGGGCAATCCTCATCCATGGTTTGCGCGAGCATTCCGAAGGTCCAACGCAACCTTCAGTACTCGTCTGGGGTGGCCTGCGCTGAAACGTTGTCCGGTTACGCATTGGGTGGCGTCGTGCCACCGCCCGGGAGGCAGCCCCCCCCCCGATGGGCCGTTGGTGTCTCCCGTCGTCTTGTAGTTTCCAAAATCAGCGCTTGCCGTGAAAGTGCCCATGCCAGAGAAATGCGCAACATAACACCCTCGCCCAGTAGCGCCGAGCAGCGCTCAAATGGCGTCGAAAACTGACCAACAGCTCCCAGTAGCGCCATGCGAGGGAGATGCATCTTGTCCGCTCTGCGCCCAGCTGGGCGCGGTGTTGGGCGCTACGGGGACGACCATCAGCTCACGTGAGTTGTTGTCGAACTCTCCCATCCTCCCTCCCTTCTCGTCTCCGTCCTGTCCCTGCCTGGCGGGCCTGGTGGCCCACGTCAAGTTGCAGGCCCAAGGCATGGTGCCCCCCCTCGCTTCGAGGGGCTGCGGTCGGAATATGAGTTGGCGGGCCTTCAGATTCATTCGATCATTTGTTGGTCATCCATTTGGCACGAGGGCCGCCTCATTGCCGCGTTCTTCGATAGCCAGTCGTGGGGGCCTTGCTTACCTTCGCAACTCCGTCTTCACAGTACTAGCGTCGATTAGCGTTTGGTAGTCGGTGAGACATCGCTGATCCCGCGCCGATTCGCGTCGACTGGTGTCGATGAGCGTCGACTCGGCGTCGACTCCGCGCCGACCCCTGCGAGCCAACAGGATGGCATGGGACTCTCCCAGCCGAAGTGTCCAGCCCCTCCCCCCCTCCCTCCCTCCCTCCTCCCCCTCCCTCCCTCCCCCCCTCCTCCAGCCAGCCTCCCTCCTCCCCCTCCCTCCTCCCCCTCCCTCCTCCTCCCCCTCCTCCAGCCAGCCTGTCCGCCCCTCCCTCCCTCCCTCCCTCCCCCCCGCACGATGGCCGCGGGCGGCCCCGTGCGCCGGGCGGTGGCGGCGCTGCTGCTGGCCGCGGCCGCGGGAGCGGGGCGCCGGGGGCCCTCCTCGTGCGCGGCCGCCGCCGCTCGAGGGCGAGTCTGTGTGCGCCTGCGGGTCAGAGATGCGCCCCGTAAGCTGCAGCAGAAGGCAGCGACGCCTCTCACTTGGCATCGCTCGGACGTGTGCATGTTTCCTTCGGCGAGGACCACCGAGGAGCATTCTTTCTCATTTGGCGAAAAAGCCACGCACGAAACCGACAAAAACACAGGGAATGGACGTCCGAGCGATGGCGAGCTCACCGCCCACCAAACCACCCCAAGCCAACCCGAAGGCCCCGATGTGCCCTCCACTTCCAGTGGAGGGGGGGGTCGGGGGCCATAAATAACACATATGAAGCCAGTGCCCCCCCAGCCCGAAATCTGGGTCTTCGGGTTGGGTTGGGGTGGTCTGGTAGGTACTCCAGATTTCGTCATAAAAGGGAGGGGGTCTGGACCCTCCAAGACAAGCCATTTCAGACCTCCCCCGTGGGAGAACCCTCAAACCATCGTCCCCAGACCCCCCAGGCCCTCCAAGATAACCTGGAAGAGACCCCCCCCGAAATGAGACCCCCCTCCCTTTATTACGAAATCTGGAGTAGTCAGCCTCCGCCGCCGCCGACGACGGCGAGACGACGGCGGCGGCGACGTGCCCGCGGCGCGGCGGCGGCGGCGGCGGCGGCGGCGGCGAGGAACCCTTTTCGTTGGGGAGGGGCTCCGCGTTCCGTAAGTGTTTCACAGCTTGCCTCAGGCTTTCCTTATGTTTTCGACAGGAAATCGAAGGTTAACGTATGGAAAAAGGGGCCTCGTTCCTTATTTAGGGTTCCTTAGGTCAACGCCCCGACTGTAGTCGGCCTCCGCCGCCGCCGACGGCGGCGAGCCGCGGCGCCTCCCGCGGAGCCCGCGGCGGCCCTCCCGCGGGGCCCTCGGCGGCCCGTGGTGGCCCTCGTCTTATGTCGGGCGTGTGCTCTTCCTCCTCCTCCTCCTCCTCCTCCTCCTCCTCCTCCTCCTCCTCCTCCTCCCCCTCCCCCTCCTCCTCCTCCTCCTCCCGTAGCCATTTTGGCTCAAGTCACCATGTCGCGCTGCGGCCGCATGGAGACCTGAGCCGAGGCCAGTCGCCAACTGCTTCCAGCCACAACCAGGGGTGAGCTGACACCCAAGCTTTCTGCCGCCACTTTCAGGGGCTTGCGGCCGCCCATTCCTGCTCATTGTTCTGGCACTGCAGGCTGCCATTCATATCGCGCTGTCGAGCGGCCCGGCTACCGTCGCCGTGAACCAGCTGGACTTCGGCCTGACTGACGTCGCCGTCTTCCGCCTCCATAGCCCGCTGGACGTCGACCCGCTCGTTCCCCAGCAGCAGCAGCCGCCACGTGGTGGCACCGCGAAGGCCCTGGAGTCTGGCGCTCTCACCCTCAACTTCCTGAAGCAGAACAGCAGCCTGTCCGACAGCAGCCCGCAGTCGCAGCCATGTCATCTTCCAGCGAAGAACGCTCTACCTTTCGCAGTGCCCCATCAGCCAGCCGCAGAAGGAAAGATCGCCGACGAGAACGTGAACGACACGACCAAGATCGCGCCGCTCGAGGTCACCCAGATCGTGCTGATAAAAGTGGTCGAGCAGCTGCAGTGCGTGCCACCCTGGACTCGTTCGGCGACGCAGGCTTCGCTACACAAGCAGCGCCACGCTCGGGGCGCGCATCTGGACACGCCGCTCGTTCTTGTCGATCTTCAGCTCGCGCACACCAGCAGCCGCCCCACTTCGCCATGGACACTGGAGAAGAAGAAGAAGCCGCAGATTCAGCACGCGCCGCCGCCGCCACGGCACGCCAATTTCAAGCAGGTGGGTGGACCGAGCCGCCGTCTCAACTACCAGGTGAAGCACTACGCCATGACCCACTCGCTGCTGCTAACCCATGGCGCGCTGGAGGTGCAGCAGCCGCTGGAGGAGCTGCCGCCGTCGGAGCCGCCGCCGATACCGAAACTGCCACTCCAGAAAACCCGTTCGCCTACCAGGTCTGGATCCAGAACTCGACAAAGCTCTTCAAGATCTCATGCGAGCTCAAGTCGCACACGCCGCCAGCACTTTCCAAGCTCAAACCAACCAACTGCTCAATGATTCACGCGAAAGCTTTCGCCAACTTCTCGCACGGCAAATCCAAGCTGCTGCTCGCCGAGTTGACACCCTTCATGATGTCGCCGCCCGCACTCGTAGAGAACAAGACCGCCAAGCAGATGAACAGAAAAAGATGTGGCAGTAGATCGACCAGAGGCGAGAGACCCTCGCGCTCGCCGAGGCCCAGGCGCCGATCACGGACCTCACCAGGCTCGCCGACTGGGACCGCGAGATCGACCCCGCGATCTTCACCGTCGGGGCGCAGCGGCCCATTGCGCCCGACGCGCTCCTCAACGACCTGCAGGAGTGGATCGCCTCCGCCAACCTGGGCTCCGACGCCGTCGAACTTCACGGAGACGAACCTGCGCGCAGATTTGTGCTACGAGTCAAAGGTGGACGCGACGTTGCCATCCCGCGCGCACTGGCGCTCACCCGAGCCCTACGCGACGCTGGAGGCAAATGGAAGCGCTCCACCTCCGTCGACACCTCGGGCACGCCGGCGGACATCTACCTCAACCCCGACAAGTCCCCAAAGCAGATCCGCGCCGAGATCCAATGCAAGAAACTTCTCCAGCTCCTTCAACACCGTCATCCCCAAAAGTCATGGAGAGCATACCGAGCCAAAGGCGAGATCCACTGCAACGCCATGCCCGTCGCGCGCCTGGGCGTCAAGGGACAAGCCAACCCCGCCATCCTGGAGTGGAACGAGAAGGCGCTCGAGCTCGCCACCTTCCGCGACCTCGATCGCGGCGCCATCCTCACGTCGTTCCAGGCGCTCTTCGCGGACACAGCGGAGGCTACGTGGCGGGTTTAGCCACCCTTGGGCGCCGTGGAAGCCAGTCGAGCACGATCGGCCCAGCTTATTCATCACATGGAACGCTAGGGTCCTCATGTGCCAGCAGCGCTCCAAGCGCCGTCGCAAGCAGGCGGCCTTGCAGCAGTACGCGCGGAAGGGCGCCGTCATCTCCCTGCAGGAGGTCCATGGCTCGGAGGCGCTCCTCCGCACCTGGGTCGAGACGCAGCCGCGCCCGTGCAAGCTCTTCTTCTCCCAGTTCGTTGCGGCAGACGACGACGAGGCCCTCACTGGCACGGGCGGCGTCGCTCTGCTCATACCGTGGCTCACGCATGCGCAGCTCGAGCTCTTGCAACCTGCGCAGCTCCCAACCCTCAGCCACGAGGAGATCGTCAAAGGTCGCGCCCAGGTGGTCGCCATCACCAACGCCGCCTCGCGCAACTCCATGGCCATCATGATCGTCCACAATCACGAGATTGACGCGCGGGGTGCCAGGGGCGCATTCAGCGCTCCTGGCGCCAGCACCGCACGTGGGCGGAGGCCAACTACCAGCACCGCACCTTCCTCGCGCTGGGCGACTTCAACACGGCCAGCCGCCCGCCGAACAGCTTCTTCCAACCGCAGCCGCAGCGTGCACGCCTGGCGCTGGACAATAGCGCGCGTCAGCAGCAGCCCTTTTGGAAGGCCCTCTTCGACAGCATGCTCGAGATCGAGTCTGACCAGCCGACGCGCTTCAACAAGTCTGACTACTCCGCGTCGGCCATCGACAGGATCTTCATCAGCCTGCCGTCGCATGCGATGCTCGAGCACACTTCCTGCGTCACCATCGCACACGACGCTGCCATCCTGTCGGATAGCCTCCTCAGCGACCACGCCATCGTCTCGTACTCCATCGGCATCAAGCCGAAGACGCCGATCGAGGAGCAGGCGATCCCGCCCGCGATCTTTCGCGACCCATCGTACGCCAAGTACCTCCAGCAGTTGCTAGACCACACCGTCACGCGCCACAGGACGATCGAGAACCGCTGGCGCGAACAAGACCCTCATGGTTGAGGCCGCGCGGCTCGTCCGCGATGATTGGGTCAGCCGCGCAGCCGGCGAGATCGGCAAGTCAAACTACACCGACGGCCAGGTGATCACGGCGCGTTCGATCTCGCGCGCGGTCTGGCGCCAGGACGTTCGCCTTGCACGACGCCTGCAGTCCGCCACCGAGCTCGGCGCCAAGTTCCTCACCATCGCCGACGGACGCATCGCGCTCTCGGATGCTGCCGAGTTCGCCATGAAGTCTGCCGCGCTGCACCGTGACTTCGAGGCTCGGCAGCGCTCTCTGGCACAGCGTGCAGCCCCGCTGCCGCGAGGCTCCCCAGGAGCCATCGACCCCAAGAAGCTCAGGAATATCACCCGATCTCCCCAGCGCAGGGCCCTGCTTTGGGCCCCTTGGAAGCGCCGCCTGGCCCTCCAGGGAATCAAAACCACCGATCCCGAGGGCCGCCCAGGGGTAGCCAGAGAGAGCTGTGCGATGGTGGATGCTCTCCGCGCTCACTGGCGGCCCGTCTTCGAGCGCAAGCACGTCGACGCCGGCCAGGTCCAGCAGTACATCGACGAGCACATGCCCAGCCATCCCATCATCGACGTCGGCGCGCCCACCAAGTCGCACGTCCGAGGCTTTCTGCTTCGCGCGGCGCCGTCCGCGCCTGGGCCCAACCTCTTGCCGTGCCGCGCCTGGCTCGCCGTGGGCGCGTCCTTGGACCTGCTGGAGGACCTTGCCTGGCACCTCTGCTCCAACCCTGACTTCATCCACGACCTGAACGACTCAGATTTCGCGTTCCTGCCGCAGGGCGACAACCTCACAGGCGAGCTCACCGCAGACCGCCTGCCTGAGGACACACGCCCGCTGTCCCTCAAGAACACAGATATCAAGGCCATCGCAGGCGCGGCCAACTTCCTCATCAAATCCGCTGTGGCAGAGCGGGCTGATTACTCGCAGCAGGGCTTTGTCGTGGGCCGCAATTTCACCGAGCGCATCGTCGACCTCGACGCCGAGATGCGCCGCGCTGGAGTTCGCCCAGAGGCCGACAAGCACAAGCCCGTCTTCACCAGCTTCG